TTCCTGCTACAGATACTGAAGAAAAGACACACTGAAGGGAGCTGAGCAAGAGATCTCTGATTCTGCCATTTCTGGTGACTTTCTGAACCTAAACTGAGGCTCAAGTTCAGACTCCGAAGGAGAAGTACTTTTCTGGCAAATAAAAAATTGTGGGAATGACACCCAAACACCCACTGAATGAGGAATTTGGCCCTCCGGCATATCTGTGACTGACAGTCAGGGAACAGATTTTGCGGGTTAATGTATGCAAAATAATATGCAGATGATCCCGCTTAAAATATTCTGTCTGTAGGGTTCAAATCCACAGTGCAAAAAAAACCCTGAATGCTTTCTTTTGTGCTTTCACGCATGCTGTATAACACACTTCCCAATCTGTTTTCAGTGCACTTTGCAACCGATTTCACTGCGTGGAATGGCAAAAATCCACTTGCAAGAGAATGCTGAAGTGGACTGAAATTGCATTTTTTTGAAGAGGAGGAGGAGATTGGATTTATACCCCGTCCTTCCCTACCCAAAGGAGACTCAGAGCGGCTTACAAACTCCTTCCCCTTCCCCTCCCACAACAGACACCCTGTGAGGTGGGTGGGGCTGAGAGAGCTCTGACAGAAACTGCTCTTTTTCAAGGACACCTCTGACAGAACTATGGCTCGCCCAAGGTCATCCAGCAGCTGCAGGTGGAGGCGTGGGGAATCAAACCCGGTTCTCCCAGATTAGAGTCCGCGCACTTAACCACTACACCAAACTGGCCCTCAAACTGGCATTATTCAGCATGTGTGAAAGTGGCAGAAACAGATTTGTAAATAACATCTTCTGCACTTTCCACCTAATAATTATATAAGTCTCTTGTAGGATTGCATAAAACTGCATCCTACATCTAATGCTGAATGTGGGCTCCGTGCGGATCAATAGATCCAGAGAATTGGGCCAGTTCAGACACGGGGTATTCGTCTGCCGACCACCAGCTGGAGCTGACACCCTCCCCCAGCACCAAACGAGCCAGGAAGAGGCTCCAAGGGGGGGGGGGGACTGGCCAGCAAGCGGCACAGTGAGGGGGGACAAAAAGGTACCTCCCCAAGTCTCCTGGGTCCCTGCCAGTGCTCCCTCTAAGCTGTGGAGTCTTGTGAGCAAAAATTCTGCTTTGTGAGCTACTGGTATTAAAGTTGTGAGCGAGCGATTTGACTGCTGCATACATTGGTTTGCTCTGGAGCCATTCCTTCCTGAGCGAAGACAAAAATGGGTGAGCCAGAGGCTAAAGAACTGTGAGCTAGCTCACACTCACTCAGGTTAGAGGGAACACTGGTCCCTGCTTGTATATGCATGTTCCAAGATTTAGGATTCACGGCACCAAAGCGCCATCAAACAAAGCTCCGTCGTCCACCTTTTCCGATTCCTCAGGGCAATCTGGTGGAGATGTATAGCAAGCCCCCAGAAACCTCTCAGTCGAGGCCGCTTGCCCCATAACTTGCCTGGGCACTGTTCTTTATAGCCGAAACCTTGTGTTCCGTGTTCCGTTGTCTTTCCGACACCAAGGGGTTCTGTAACGACTTCTCCAGTGGTCCCTAAAGAGAATTTCACAGATCAGTGCTGGAAATAAGGCAATGTCATGTGTACAAAGAAGAGGAGAAGACCCTGAAAGGGGCAGCAAGATAGTGGGGACAACACCTTCTCTCTCCTGTTAATTGTCATTCCTTGTCTGTCTCCGGATTGCTACTCTTTGGGTGCGTTCAGACGGGGCGTTTCAGCCGGCATAAACTGTACCGTTTGGAACTGGTGCAGTTTATGCCGGCTGAAAAGCGATCACACTTACCTCCGGTCTACGGAGCCCATCGCTGTATGCCCGTTCACATGCAGCGGGCGTCAGCGTTTTGTTTTGTTTTTTTAAAAAAACCCTCAGTTTGTGCATGCGCATAGGCAGCCATCCACAGAATGGCGATCTTTGCGCATGCGCAAAAAACCCCGTCTTACATTTAAACTTTAAAGGTAAGGACTTACCTTTAAAGTTTAAAGACCAAGCTGGCCTCCCTGAAGTCCCGGACTCTTCCGAAACGTTAAACTAAGGACCTTTTCTTTTTCTTTTTTTTGAACAAACGCCAGGGCGAAGCTTCGCCCAAGCGCATATCGCCGACCTTTAAAAAAAAATGGTGGGTGAAAATCGGAAGCCTCAGGCTTCCGAACGGAAGTGGCTCTGCAACAGTGGAGAGTGATCAGACGGGGGGTAAAGCGATTACAACCGTTGCACTCAGGATACCACCACTTGGGGACCTAGTGGCGGAATACAACGGTGTAAAGCTCTTTGCAACGGTTAGGGACGGAAGGCAGATGTTCACCGTGTGAACGCCGGTAAGTACACCGATTCCAACCGGCACCTATTCCATTGCAAATGCCCCATCTGAACGCACCCTTACGGTAATACCCTCCTCCTTCTCGGAAGTTCCACCCTCTATCTCTCTCAGCTAGTGAAGTGGTTACGATACTATCTCTGCCTCTCCTCTTCGCTAGTAATGTAGCGATGACACTATCTCTCTCTCCCCTCTTCATTATCAAGTATGTTAGTTCCTGAAGAAACCTTTATCTACACTCTAATCAGGTCGCTCACCTTTGCTGTGTTAATTACTCTGCCTACAATGAGCCTTGCAGTATTGTCCCTTTTTGCACAGCAAAAAGATCAAATCCAGAACCTTACTATTTAACATCGTAGCTTTCGCGTGGGTGGCAGGGGGTGGCTGGGCGTTCTGATTTTAAGGTCTGCGTTCATGCTACATATCGCATGCAACTCAGCATGGCGTAGCGGTTAGGGTGTCAGACTAGTATCTGGGAGACCCAGATCCAAATCCCCCCTCTGCCATGGAAAGCTCTCTGGGTGACCTTGGGATAGTCACTCTCCCCCTGAATATAACCAACCTCACAGGACTGTTGTGAGGAAGTGACCAAACGGTCCAGAATCCCAGATTTTCAATGGTGTGATTGTTAGTGACGCCATCTTGAATCTGTTTTATACTGGTTTTAATGTTATTCATGTTGTTATATTTAAAGTCTGCGTACTGTTCCTAAGGCTTATGCCATACTGTACCTTGCCCAGAGGCTGGCGCAAGTCAGGATCGGGCAATCAATAAGTCCAATAAATAATAGTAAAATATGTTGTCGAAGGTTTTCATGGCCGGAGTTCATTAGTTGCTGTAGATTTTCCGGGATGTGTAGCCATGGTCTTGGCATTGTAGAACCTGACGTTTCGCCAGTAACTGTGACTGGCATCCTCAGAGGTATAAACACAGAAAGATGGAATACTCTCTGGGTGCGTTCAGACGGGGGATTTACAACGGTTAGGGTGCCGGTTCCAACCGGTGTACTTACGGGCATTCACACGGCGAACATCTGCCTCCCGTCCCTAACCGTTGTAAATCCCTTTAAACCATTGCACTCTGCCACTAGGTCCCTAGTGGTGGTAAACTGAGTGCAACGGTTGAAAACGGTGCACCCCGGTGTCTGATCGCTCTCCAAACGTTGTACAGACACTTCCGTCGGAAGCCTGAGGCTTCCGGCTTTCCCCCGCCCTTTTTAAAAAAAAATAAGCGATATGCGCTCGGGCAAAGCTTCGCCCCGAGCGTTTGTTTTTTCAGAAGAGACCCCCTCACTTCTGCAGGAGTATACCGCATACCATGCAGTTGTGGACAAGTTTACATCGGGACCACACAGCGTAGCATTTGGACAAGAATAAAAGAACATGAAAGACACTGCAGACTTGGCCAACCTGAAAAATCAGTAGTGGCTGAACATAGCCTAACTCAAACAGGTCACAGCATTTTGTTCCAAGACAATGAAAGGCTGGGCAACACTTTCAATTACCATGTCAGATTACACAGGGAAGCCATTGAAATTCACAAACATAAACAGAATTTCAACAGGAAAGAAGAGAGTTTAAAAATAAATAGGACAGGGCTTTATATCAGACAACAGCACGACAGATAAGATTAGAATTTCAACAACCTCCTCAGGAAGCAGGAAACCTCCTCAGGACACAAAAGAACCTCCTCAGGAAAGCTCCTCTATTAGCATGTCCATAGCCTGGGGAACTCCTACAAGAAAATGACTCAGCCCTACCCACCTTCTGGAGTAGATATAAATTGACTGCCTACCATTTTCTTCTCACCTTGACACAGAGAGTATTCCATCATTCTGTGTTTATACCTCTGAGGATGCCAGTCACAGTTACTGGCGAAACGTCAGGTTCTACAATGCTAAGACCACGGCCACACATCCTGGAAAATCTACAGCAACTAATAATAAAATAATGGAGGAGGACTAGGTTCGAATCCCCACACTGCCATGGAAGCTCGCTGGGTGACCTTGGGCCAGTCACACACTCTCAGCCTAAACCACCTCACAGGGTTGTTGTGAGGATGAAATGGAGGAGGGGGATGTTGTCAGCCACTCTGGGTCCCCATTTGGAAGAAATGCGAGGTCTGAATGAAGTCAATGAAGAAATAATGTGGAAAAGATTGATATCCACGTCTGCTCATCAGCCCATCGTGAACACACTGATCTGTTGTTTCTCAGTTTCTCACATACTCATGTCTGGTTTGTGGAGAGGCATCTGTCTTTCCGACATTACACTTTCCACTAGCGTAGTCAAGAGGTGTGACTTTGGGAGGAAACCAAGAAGAAATATGGTAATGCATCGCCTTTGAGGTAACGGCACTTGTGTTGTTTTTTTTTAACAAAACCACAGAACTGAGAGGTCATTGCTGTAAATTTCCCTCAGAGAAAATATCGACAAGACCAAAATGGATAACTACTTCATAGATAACAAGAAGCTACACCGTGTAAAATTATACTATGGTCTCGATCTGAAGAACTACCAAGGACACGGGCACATCTGTGGGTCTTTGGAGTCTTCCCTCTCTGTCCCAAATCGTGCCCAAAATCACCCAGGTTTTTGAAACTCCTCTCGCTTCCAAAGAGCTGTGGAAACACCTGATGTTGGAGAACTGAAAGTCCATCAAAGTTCTCTCAGGCATATGGCACTAAGCCCCGCAGGGGTCTGGATCCAGACCTATGTGATATATATATATTTGCACAGTAAGCTATTTATGGCACACAGAAATATAGCCGACGCTCCATTTCTGTTACACAGGCAGGGTTCATTTTAGAACATGCCTGACGGGCAGAAAGCAAATGATACAACTTCCCTCATTTCTGCCAGTGGGCAGCTATTAACGGAACAAGAACCACAGCAGCGGAGAGGTGGCAACCCACTGCGGAAACCACAAGGTCTGGTTAATATTTCCCCAGAAGTAGTAATTTCCAATTATTTTGTTGTAAAGGGCAATTCAAGTAACGAAACAGTTCTGACATAATGAGCGTGGAAATGGAAACGAAAAGGCCAAACTGCATTCACAGCTTAATCTAAAGTCTACAATTGCTTGAGTCCTTGGGGAGCAATTCTAAGTGAGTCTACTCAGAAGGAAGTGCCACTTTACTCAGAAGGAAGTGCCACTGGGGGCTTGCTCCCAGAAAAATGCTCCTATGACTGAATATAAGAACATAAGAAGAGCCCTGCTGGATCAGACCAGTGAGGGTCCATCTAGTCCAGCATCCTGTCTCACACAGGGGCCAACCAGTTCCTCTGGAGGGCCAACAACAGGGCATAGAAGCCGAGGCCTTCCTAAGAACATCAGAAGAGCCCTGCTGGATCAGACCAGTGAGGGTCCATCTAGTCCAGCATCCCGTCTCACACAGTGGCCAACCAGTTCTTCTGGAGGGCAAACAACAGGCATAGAGGCTGAGGCCTTCCTAAGAACATCAGAAGAGCCCTGCTGGATCAGACCAGTGAGGGTCCATCTAGTCCAGCATCCTGTCTCACACAGGGGCCAACCAGTTCCTCTGGAGGGCCAACAACAGGGCATAGAGGCCGAGGCCTTCCTAAGAACAAGAGAAGAGCACAGCTGGATCAGACCAATGGTCCATCTAGTCCAGCATCCTGTCTCTCACAGGGGCCAGCCAGTTCCTCTGGAGGGCCAGCAACAGGGCATAGAGCCCGAGGCCTTCCTAAGAACATAAGAAGAGCCCTGCTGGATCAGACCAATGGTCCATCTAGTCCAGCATCCTGTCTCACACAGGGGCCAGCCAGTTCCTCCGGAGGGCCAACGACAGGCCATAGAGCCGAGGCCTTCCCCTGATGTTGTCTCCCGGCTCTGGGATTCAGAGGATTAGCGCCTCTGAATGTGGAGGTTCCCCTCAGTCACCAGGGCTAGTACCAATTAACAGACTGATCATGAATCTACCTAATCCCCTTTTAAAGCTGTCTATTCCTCTGGCCACCACCACATCCACTGGCAGTGAATTCCACATGTTAATCACTCCCCGTGTAGGCAGACAGACAACCCTTTATTGGCATGGAAGAGATAAGATTACATTAAAATTTAGGAATACATCAAAAGCATGGCTGTCAAACAGCCAACAAGAAAAGAACCAATCAATTAATAGTTTCCCTGGTTCGAATTACAGATTGAAGAAAACAAGCAACATTAAAAGGTACAGAAGAGTTTTGCCCAGAGAGTAGCAACTGGACCTTGACACTCTCAGGAAGACCACGCCATGTAAAATGAAGGGTGTCCAGAAATTACTTCGCTATTAGATATATAGATGGACACTTTAAAAGAACATGGGGAACGGATTCGATAGCACCCTGACTGCAGGGGCAATTGCCTAAGTTCATAGGGGATTTTTTGGGCATCTTCCAGACACTGGGCCAGACAGCTACTTATTTTTGTTCTCTAACTGATCACCATCAAAGAAGGGCATTTATGCTTGCCACTCCCTGTGTAAAGAAGTCTTTCCTTTGGTCCGTCCTGAACCTACTGCCCATCAGCTTTTGGACGCCGAGTTCTAGTATTTTGGGAGAGGGGGGAAAAGTTCTCTTTGTGAACTTTCTCCACCCTGTGCATAGTTTTATAAACCCCTATCGTGTTCCCCATTAGCCGTCTCTTTTCTAAACGGAAAAGTCCAAGACTCTTCAACCCTTCCTAACAGGGAAGGTGCTCTAAACCCCGAATCATCTTGGTTGCCCCTCCCCTGGACTTTTTCCAGCTCTGCAGTGTCCTTTATGAGATATTGTCACTGTATGCGGTTTGGCCTGTTCTGCCATATTTAAATTTGGGTGTTTTATATGACTGTTAAATATTTATCTTTAAAAAAAAAAATCCCCTCCAGAAATCCCTTTCAGCAAAAGGAACATTCTTTTGACAACTAGATAAAATCTGGCTTTCATCAAGTGACAAAATGATTCAGAAATTGTATAGATTTTTACTAGAGGAATACATGCGAGATGAAATAGTAAAAACAACTATGATTTCACAGATGACGGACATAGGACATAATACTGAGATAGATAAATGGTCCAAAATGTGGAAAACAATCAAATACATGAGAGCTACTAACTACAAAGAAAATATCTATAAAATATTCCATAGATGGTACGGGTCCCCTGATAGAATAGCTACATGTCATTCAAAGGTTTCAAAAAACCGTTGGAAATGCAAAGTGAATGTAGGTACTTTTTTCATATGTGGTGGCGATGTCGGAAAGTTTATAATTACTGGTTGATGGTGCAAAAAATAATAATGGAAATAATGAATATTAACCTTATCTTAACCCCAGAAATGGCCTTGTTGAACATAATTCCGGAGCACTTTGAGCGAAAAGATGTGTACCTGTTAATACATATCTTAATGACTGCTAGAATTCTTCTAGCTAAATACTGGTAACTAGAAAAAAATCCCAACAAGAGAGGAGATAGCATTCAAGTTGTTAGAAATGGCAGAAATGGATAAACTGAGTTTGATACTTCAAGGAAAAGATGTTATTACACACACTAAAAGATGGCTTAGACTGTATAAATGGACAGATAACGTATAAGAAACTAGTTTGTTGTTGTTCAGTCGCACAGTCGAGTCCGACTCTTCGCAACCCCATGGACAAGATCTCGCCAGGCCCTCCTGTTTTCCGCCATCCTCTGAAGTTGTATAGATATAAGAAACAAGACTCAAATGTATATATTGTTTATTATTGGTAGTAATGCTTACTATGGAAAATCTATCAATAAAAGGTTAAAAAAAAGAAAAAGGACATTCTTTTTACCAGCATTCACTGTACTCACTAGAATTACAAGGAAAGAACTGAAAAGGTGTTTAAACTAATGTTAAGATCTATGTTACAATGATCTGTCCTTCAAAAAAATGCTTAATTCTTTCACTCTTCGTAATGGAAAGAAAACAGTTGTGTTCACTGTCATAGTTTCACTGGAACCGAGTATGCGCCCTGGCCTCTAGATCTACTGCCAACGGACACGATCAGGCACGGAGCTACGTGCGCTTATGGCCTTTAAATCAATGCTTGTACAGGCCCTAATGAGCGCATGCCACCAAGTCATAAGCAACTTGTGGTAACCCGGTAGGATTTTCAAGTCAAGAGATGTTCAGAGGTGGTTTATCATTGCCTGCCTCTGCGTAGTAACCCTGGACTTCCTTGGTGGGCTCCCATCCAAATACTAACCAGGGCTAAACCCGCTTCGTTTCAGTGATCCGATCTGCAAAGATCAGGCTAGCCTAGGCTATCCAGGTCAGGGGCATTACGGCCTCTACATTACAAAGTAGAGACATCACCCTGCCAACAAACGTCTGCATGGTCAAAGCAATGGTATTCCCAGTAGTACTGTGTGGCTGCAAGAGTTGGACTATAAGGAAGGCCGAGTGCCGAAGAATCGATGCTTTCGAATCATGGTGCTGGAGAAGACTCTTGAGAGTCCCTTGGACTGCAAGAAGATCAAACCAGTCAATCCTAAAGAAAAACCAACCCTGACTGTTCCCTGGAAGGCCAGATACTGAAGCTGAAGCTCAAATACTTTGGCCACCCAATGAGAAGGGAGCACTCACTGGAGAAGGCCCTGATGCTGGGAAAGGTTGAAGGTCAAAGAAGAGGGGGACGGCAAAGGATGAGATGGTCAGACAGTGTTATCGAGGCAACGAACATGAAGTTAAGCAAACTTCGGAGCACGGCGGGAGACAGGGGGGCCTGGCATGATGTGGTCCAGGGGGTCGCGAAGAGTCGGACTCAACTGTGCGACTGAACAACAAAAACAACAACCCATTAAGGAAAATATGTATTATCAATTTTTTTAAAAAAACAAACAAACCCAGACAGTGTTACCTGTAAAGGCATATTCGCTGTGGCCAATATTCTTCTTTCTTCTCTTAAGCAGTTCGAAACCACCACAGCGACGTGCATAGGATTATTCTGATATTTCCCCTGAAAACAAGAGGACAAATATTTTAAAAAATAATCTGATCTGAACCGACACATATCTCACAAAACCCTCTGCCAGTCAATGTATATTCTTACAGTCACTAAAGAGAACTATGGTAGGATTTTTTGAATTCACTAGTACCAATGTTTCTTTAGTAACATTCCCTCGCTGCCTACTTACCGGCCGTAGGCACGGCTGATTATTTCAAGTGAATGTAAACACATCAAGTTCCCTTACGGGGAGTGAGACTAGCGGTATGGCTAGCTTGATCGCGTCCATGTGTCTTGATGCTGACAACTTTCTAGGCTATGGGTCCCCAACCTTTTTGAGCCCGCACCCACCTTTGGAATATTGACAGAGTGTGGTGAGCACAGACATAAAGTGGCTGCCACAAAGTGGCTGCCGCAGGGGGTTGAACCAACTACAAAATGGCGGCTCCAGTTTACCTTCTGTCATGCAGTGAAGATCCAGGGGCCAATCGAAAGGTTTGTTGGCAAAAGCCCCACCTGGCCCCACCCACTTTCTCAAAAACACTTGGCAGGTGGCAGGAAAATGGTCGGCACCACCTTTGGCCACTGCTGTCTGGAGTCGCCAGCTTAGACTTTTGACATCTGGTGCTGATGTTGACCCCTACCCCTAACCCTTTGACCTGACCTTTACCCTTTGTATCACCTGGTCCTTGAGCCAGGGGTCATTTCCTGCAGGAGCGCACAGGAGTGGAGCTCCGGCAGTAAAGAGCCCAGGGGGCGGGCACAGGCAACAAGCCCCACCCCCTGCTCCCAGCAGCCCTCAGTCAGAGCAAGAAGCAGCCAGGTAAGTTGCAGAGCTCCCCCTTACAGAGCAACAAGATTTTCAGCACCTTACAGAGCAACAAGATTTTCAGGGTATAGTTTCTGAAAGTCAAAGCTGGACAAAGTACAGAGGAGGGCAAGGAAGATGAGGAGGGGGTTGGAGCACCTACAACTAGGAGGAAAGGCCGAAGAGTTTGGGACTTTTCAGCTGAGGAAAGAGACGCGTAAGGGAGGATGTGATTGAGGTTTATCGCACTATGCATGGAGTAGAGAGAGTTGACAAAGAGAGTTTCTTCTCCCTCTCCAAAAATGCCAGACCTTTTTCTACGAAATGACCCCTGCCTTGAACTACATGTAGGGAGGCGTGTCAGATCCCCCACACCTAGAGATGGCACGAATGGGCCCGATCAAAAAAACATTAACTTCCAATGACAGGTCAAGATGGGTAGCCGTGTTAGTCTGTCCATAGCAGTAGAAAAGAGCAAGAGTCCAACAGGACCTCAGAGAGCCAGTTTGGTGTAGAGAGCCAGTTTGGTGTAGTGGTTAAGTGTGCGGACTCTAATCTGGGAGAACCGGGTTTGATTCCCCACTCCTCCACTTGCACCTGCTGATGTGACCTTGGATAAGTCACAAGCTCTGGCACAGCCGTTCTTGAAAGAGCAGTTTCTCTCAGAGCTCTCTCAGCCCCACCTACCTCACTGGGTGTCAGTTGTGGGGAGGGGAAGGGAAAGGAGTTTGTAAGCCGCTTTGAGACTCCAAGTGAAGGGCAGGGTATAAATCCAATCTCTTCTTCTTCTAAAGACTAACAACATTTGTGGCAGGGGAGGATCTTTCGTGAGTCACTGTGTGATTCCAGGATCTGAAGAAGTGAGCCGTGACTCACAAAAGCTCCTACCCCGCCACATACTTTATTAATCTTTAAGGTGTTCCTGGACTCCTGCTCTATCCAATGGCAGCAATGGGATTTTAAGTTCATCTCTGATTCGTTCGTTTCAGAGTGACTTTGGTTCTAGCCGGATCAAAGCCTGAAGGAAACCAAAGCAGAGGTCCTAGTGCTCTCGCTGCTAAGCAACCATCATAATTAATCAGCCCACTTACACAGTATGGCTGCCCTAATATGTATGTGATGGCAGTATAAAAACAGATGTGAGACAGACCGCAAGCGATCATCCGTGTCTTCGAAGCAATGAAAAATCCTGCAGTTCAAAGAACCCCTTTCCCCCTTTAAACAGCGAGGTTCATGCCCATCTGCACCTTACAGAGCAACAAGATTTTCAGGGTATAAAGTTTTTGAAAGTCAAAGCTGGACAAAGTACAGAGGAGGGCAAGGAAGATGAGTAGGGAGGAAAGTCTGAAGAGTTTGGGACTTTTCAGCTGAGGAAAGAGATGAGTAAGGGAGGACGTGATTGAGGTTTATCACACTATGCATGGAGTAGAGAGAGTGGACAAATAGAGTTTTTTTCTCCCTCTCCAAAAATGCTAGACCTCGAGGGCCTCCAGTGAAGCGGATGGGCAGTAGGTTCAGGACGGACAAAAGGAAATACTACTCGACACAGAGAGTGATTAAAATGTGGGATTCGCTGCCAGAGGATGTAGCGATGGCCCCAGGAATAAACAACTTTAAAAGGGGATTAGATAGATTCATGGAGGATAAATCTGTTAATGGCTCCTAGCCATGGTGGCTGAGGGGAACCTCCACATTCAGGGGCACTAAGCCTCTGAACCCCAGAGCCAGGAGGCAACATTGGGGAAGGCCTCAGGCCCTCCAGAGGAACTGGTTGGCCACTGTGGGAGACGGGATGCTGGACTAGATGGACCACTGGTTTGACCCAGCAGGGCTCTTCTGATGTTTTCAAAGATTCCCTTCATCTGATGCCTGAACTTTGAGTCTCAACATTTCATACCCCAAAACTCTTGCTGGTCTTTAAGCTGGTCCAGGACTCAAAATCTAGCTGTTCATCTGCAAGCCAACACAGCTCCCCTCTGAAACCTTTTCCTCCCTTTGAGATTCTCCGTCTTCACTACTCACGTGTGTTTAGAATTATTTTATCTAGGCCAGCAAGAGGAAGTGGAGTGAAAACCTCACACGCAAGCCCCGCGTGTTGCTTTTGACACCACCTTTCCCCTACCCACTTCCTCAGGAGTGCTACAACAAGAAAATGTTCTCAAATAAACACCAGAACAGTAACCGGGGCACTTATTTTCATCTGTGTGGCAGTGTGAAAGCTTTTTGTGTGTGGAATTCACACTTCCTACCTCAGGGAAACAATTTCCGCATCGTCCACCCACTGTGATGCTCTTGCACGTTGCATTACAACATGAGTTGACGCATACAGGGCTCTTTTGCCACTCCTGGGCAGCAGCACCGAGGCCTACGGACAGTGTTTCCCAGAGGAAGAAGAAGAAGAGAAGAGATTGGATTTATACCCTGCCCTTCGCTACCCAACGGAGTCTCAGAGCGGCTTACAAACTCCTTTCCCTTCCCCTCCCCACAACAGACACCCTGGGAGGTAGGTGGGGCTGAGAGAGCTCTTGACAGAAACTGCTCTTTTTCAAGGACAGCTCTGAAAGAACCATGGCTTGCCCAAGGTCACCCAGCAGCTGCATGTGGAGGAGTGGGGAATCGATCCCGGTTCTCCCAGATTAGAGTCCGCGCACTTAACCACTACACCAAACTGGCTCTCATGTTCTTAGATGCCCGCCTCTTTCCTCCCTGTGGATCAGAAATGACAGGCAAGATGCTTTTCCCCCAGGAATTTATTGACCATTCCTCAGCTTGCCCTTGGAGAAACCAGAAAAAACGGCCACCTCTCTGAATATCCTCCCAGCCCCCAGTAGGGGTCAGTCACCAGAGGTCGCTATGACTTCCAGGTACGTACACCCACGCACACATGCACACAGAAGATCCGCACACCCAGTTCTCTTAATTAACTCTGGTGAGACGGGCCCCCTCTGAAAACCCAAAGACCCCATCAACTGAACATATTGCCGATGCCACACAAATCCTTGCGCTTCCTCTGTAAGCTCACGACGTGGGGCGCAGGGAAAAATCTCACCTGTAGAAGTGTCCTGATTCTCTTCAAGTTGTGTATCAGGAGGAGGTTCTTCTCTTGGGAAACGCGGTCTAAATGTTCGTCCAGCTTTATGAACAAGTTCTGCAAGAGGATCGCGGCCATGGGCTCATTGTTATAGGCGGACTCCCTACGCGACACAAGAGAACGGATACGATCAAAACTTGCATGCAAAGGAAGAATTGTTCAGCGAACAAAACATGAACAGGAAAGGGGGGGGGATAAATCAACGATCCTGTAAAGATGGGTAACCCGGACTAGCCCAGGCAAGCCTCATCTCATCAGATCTTGGAAGCTAAGCAGGGTCAGGTATGGCTAGGAATTGGAAAGGTGACTTACAAAGAAAACCAGGAGCATGACGCAGAGGCAGGCAACAGCAAAACCACCTCTGAATCCTCTCTTGCCTAAAAAAGGTCTTGCTCGCCACCTAGTGGTGCATAACACTAAAGAGCTAGAACCTCCAGCTGCCAGATCTTACCAATCCTGGTTTTCAATCCACTGCGCTAACAGATGTCGGACTTCCATGGGAAATTTGTCATCGTAAATTTGGTCTATCTGCTCCAAGAATTTCGTTTCCAACTGCTGGACTTGGTTCCACTGAGACATCCTGAAAATAGAAAAGGCTTATTTTGATGTGATCGAAAATGTGGTCGCGTAGAACTTATTGAGGAACTGTGGTGGCTCAGTGGTTAAGGCGCTGAACTGCAGGCCGGAAGGTCGGTAGTACAGCAGTTCGAGACCTGAGTGCCGCATGACAGAGTGAGCTCCCGTCTCTGGCCCCAGCTCCTGCCAACCTAGCAGTTCGAAAGCAAGAAACTGCAAGGAGATAAATAGGTACCGCTTCGGTGGGAAGGTAACAGCGTTCCGTGCGCCTCGGCGTCTAGTCATGCTGGCCACATGACCACGGAAGCATCTTCGGTCAGCTCTGGCTCTTCGGCTTGGAAACGGAGATGAGCACCGCAGCCCTAGAGCTAGATTTGACTAGCTGTCAAGCAAGAGAAACCTTTACCTTTACTAGAACTTATTGACACATTCCTTCTCCACATTTGACAGCACTTGCCGGATCAGGGAAAAGTCAGCTTTTGCATAACAACGGCAAAACTCTGGAAAGGACAGCTTGAACTTTCAGTACAACTTTCCCAAGTGCTCAAAGCACACAGTTCTGATAAACTTGGAGAAACATTATGTGTTTCCTCAAAGGCACAGGTCATGCCAACGTTCAGCATGAAGCGGTGGTTGTACCGCGATTCGAGACAGAACTTCTGAGGAAGACGGAGACAACTCAGCCCAGGCCCACCTCAAGGTGAAGGCTTCCTTCCTTTCAGTTTCCAACGGAGGCAAGAGAGGGGGTGACATTTTTGCCCGCTGGCAAAACACCTTGAAGGGAGGAAGAACTGAGGGAAAGGAGGCAGAGAAATCTGTCCACCAGCTCCGAGGGCCTGTATTACTCTGCGGAATCTTTGATGGGTTTTGTGCTTCATCCTCTCCACAATCTGTCGCACACTTTTCCCCATGCCCAAATATGCACTGCGGGCTGTTGTGAGTGAGGGCAGAGAAACACGCATCCCACTGATGTCAGAGCACATGGCAAAAACGGTTGATTTTCTCTGTATGCTTCCTTTAGCCTCTTATAATCCTTGAACTAGTTGTCTAGAACAGGGGCCTCCAACATGGTGCCCGTGGGCGCCAAAGCACCTCCTGGCAACTTTTCTGGCGCCTGCCAAAGGCTTTGTTCTTAGAAAGGTGATTGGGGCTGGGCGGGGGTGCTGGCCGTTCCGACGGGCTGTTCAGATTAAAATAACACTGCTTCAGTGGAAGCCACCACGAAAATGCTGGTTCTAGTTTCTCTCCCGCCTTTTCCCCTCTGCATTTTTTTCAAATTACTCCTCCTGCCCCCTGAACTTTGGCTTCCTCTGTGTGTGTGTGGTTGGCTCCACCTCTCGTGGCAGCCATTTTGTGGTTGTCCCCCACCATCCTGAATTCCACATGGTCCCCTACATCCGGGTGAGACCTAAACAGACCTTGTGGATGAATATCTCTCTCTCTCTCTCTCTCTCTCTCTCACACACACACACACACACATCATTCCTCCATCTGGAAGTGTCCTTTTCCTTTTCGTTGTTGAATTAGAGATGGAGGCTCCCTTCCTACGGCAGTTCCCAGGCAGATAAAAATGTCGCAGTTAAACCCGTTTGGTGTAGTGGTTAAGTGCGTGGACTCTATAATATGGGGGAACCGGGTTTGATTCCCCACTCCCCCCGCTTGCACCTGCTGGATGACCTTGGGTCAGTCACAAGTTCTCTCAGAGCTGTTCTCTCAAGGGCAGTTCTCTCAGAGCTCTCTCAGTCCCACCTACCTCACAGGGTGTCTGTTGTGGGGAGGGGAAGGGAAAGGAGATTGTAAGCCACTCTGAGACTCCAAGTGAAGGGCAGGGTACAAATCCAATCGCTTCTTCTTCTTTTTCTAAACGTGGTCTGAGCAGATGGTGACAAACCGAGAAAAAGACCGTGGGCGTGGAGTGGATTGTTTGGTGAAAATATAAACTCTTGTGTAATGTGGTGGTTTTTAGAAAAGGGCAAATGTCATCCTGGGGATCAACAGGAAAGCGACTGGGGGAAAAACCTGCCAGTATCACAATGCCCCGATAAAAGTCCCTAGAATTGGACATCTCTCCCTTATATATAAAGCCATAGTGGGCTCCAACTGGATCAGGCCAAAGGCCCATCCAGTCCAACACTCTGTGTCACACGGTGGCCAGAAATACCAGGTGCCATCAGGAGGTTCACCAGTGGGGCCAATATTTGCAGTAATGTGGACAGTTCTGGCATCTCAAAGAGGAGGAGAAAAGTGCAGAAAGGGACAACTGGGCAAGTCTTTTAGTCAAGAAAAAAACACAACCGAGTGGTCACGCGATAGAGAGCTACAACATTATGCACCGTGTAGAGAAAATGGATGGAGAGAAACGTCCAGAATGCCGGAAACTCACTCTACAAAATTGTTCGGCAAGAGATTTCGTGTGGTGGTGGTGGGGGAACCATACTTCCCAAGATCAGGCTGTTAACCTGTGGAACTCCTTGCCACGAGAGGTGGTGCTGGCCACCGGCTGCGAAAGAATTGAAAAGGAGTTGTCCCTTACCCAGAATATGACTTTCGCAGTGTTGAAGAACCAATGGCCGCACCAGGAGGTGGAGGAAGAGAGAAAAAGCAGGTGCAAGGCAAAAGTATTTGTTACATTTTTATAGATCCCTATGTGTTTCTTGGTAAAGCGTCTTCAAGGGATCTTCGATGGGTTTTTAAAACCTCCCCCCCCCCATCCCTAGGGCAGAACCATCGGTCAATTTTTCTGAGAATGGCACTCAATCCTCTATGGCCGGCTGTTAGCCACGCTTGCCAAAGGGTAACACGTTGTGTTGCTAGATGTTGGGGGGAAAGGCAAGTGAGGGGGGGGTCCACCTGGCTGACCACTCTGGCAAAGCGGGACTTGCTGGGCCGCTGCTGTAGGCTTGCCAACCTCCAGGTGAGGGGCGGAGCTCCCCCAGCATTACAACTTATCCACAAACAATGAAGAAGAGGAAAAAGAGGAGGAGGAGGAGGAGATTAGATTTATACCCGGCCCTTCACTCGGAGTCTCAGAGCGGCTTACAAACTCCTCTCCCTTCCCCTCCCCACAACAGACACCCTGTGAGGTGGGTGGGGCTGAGAGAGCTCTCTCGAGAACTGCCCTTGAGAGAACAGCTCTGAGAGAACTTGTAACTGATCCAAGGTCATCCAGCAGCTGCAAGTAAAGGAGTGGGGAATGAAGAAGAAGAAGAGGAGGAGGAGGAGATTGGATTTATACCCCGCCCTTCACTACCCAAAGGTCTCTCAGAGCGGCTTACAAACTCCTTTCCCTTCCCCCTCCCCACAACAGACACCCTGTGAGGTAGGTGGGGCTGAGAGAGCTCTTGACAGAAACTGCTCTTTTTCAAGGACAGCTCTTATCAGAGCTATGGCTTGCCCAAGGTCATCCAGCAGCTGCAAGCGGAGGAGTGGGGAATCAAACCCAGTTCTCCCAGATTAGAGTCCGCGCACTTCCCCACGACACCAGTTCCCCCAGCCATCTCAGGGAGCAGACTCTATGATACACCACAGAGCAGGAGGAAGGGAAGTGGCGCCCCAGATACGGCCTGAAAACCTCCAGGAATTTCCCAGGCCAGAGTCAGCACTCCAAACTGTGCTCCCGATTCTCCTGCGCTCGCAGCGTTTTCATTCTCTGCCAACCTCCAGGTCGAGCCTGGAGATCTGGAATTATAACTGACCTCCAGACTACAGAGATCGGGTCCCCTGGAGAAAAGGGCTGCTTGGGACGGCGGAGTCTGTGGCATTCAACCCTACTGAGCTGGCATCTCTAGCCCAGAGTGCTCCCTCTAAGCCAGGGGTGTCAAACATACGGCCCAGGGGCCGGATCAGGCCCCCGGAGGGCTTCTATCAGGCCCACAGTGGAACTGGCTGTCTTCTGCTTCTTCTTCCAGTTCTGCTGCTGCTGCTGCGTTATTGTAGGTTTGCAGCTTACAGATAGACACACCTGAACAGCATTCTCAAGACTGCAATGGCACAGACATTTTGATGCCGTAATTCAGAGCAAGAGGTGTCAGTGATCAGACACTGTTACATAAACAAAGTATTGCAAGGGGTGCTCATGTTTTAAGCGTGTTTTTATTTTAAGTAAAAACCACCCTTTGTGTTTGTGTCCTTTATAAAGTTTAATACCTCCGCTACCTGGCATTACGTTTTATGACACACACGGCCCGGCCCAACTAGGTCTCATTTATGTCAGATCCGGCCCTCATAACAAATGAGTTCGACACCCCTGGTCTAAGCTGTGGAGTCCTATGAGCAAAAATGCTCCTTTGTGAGCTACCGGCATTAAAGTTGTGAGCGAGCGATTTGGCCGCTGCACAGATTAGTTTGCTCTGGAGCCCTCCTTCCTGAGCTGAGACAAGAATGTGAGAGCCAGAGGCTGAAAAACTGTGAGCCGGCTCACACTAACTCAGCTTAGAGGGAACACTCCTCTGGGGCCACCACAGCATTTCTGTCTATCCTGTCTTATGGGGAGACCTCTATGCCCCCCCTTCCCAGGTGTCTTTTCCACAGGTGCCCACCTTGGCAAACCTGGGAATGATGCTGAACATGCCTGCCAAGGGACCAAATTGGGGCTGCCAACCTCCAGGGGAGGCCTGGAGAGAGTTATAACTCATCTCCAGCCTATGGCAATCCGTCCCCCCTGGAGGAAGCAGCAGCCCTGAAGTGCGGACTCTCTGGCCTTCTACCCTACAAAGTCCCTCTCCAAAGCTCACCCTTCCCTGGCTCTATCCCCCAAATCTCCAGGAATCTCCCAACCTGGAGCTGGCAACTAGGGAGGCCAGTCTCCAGGAGGGACCTGGGGAATCCCCCGGAATCGCAGCTCACCTCCAGACTACAGAGATCGGCTCCCCTGGGGAAAATGGATGTCTTTTTTGGGGGGGGGAATGGAATCTATGGCACTGTGCCCCCAATGAGGTCCCCGTCCTCCCCAGGCTCCACCCCCAAATCTCAAGGTGTTTCCCAACTAGGGAGGCCAGCCTCCA